CTGTCTATTTTTATCCTTTGTAACAGATTTTACGATCTACTTAAAAATAGTGGAACACCGCGATTCCTTCATTCTCTTTACTTACCTATTTTTTTTTCTAGATCTTGTTATTTAAAGATCATAGAGTTCTACAACTGTATCAAATTCCAGATCTCAGAAATGTAAACTCGGAGAACGTAAAATCTTTTAGCAGATTTTATTTATCAATAATTATTAACTGTACCCTCACAGCCCCTTTAAATCAATCTTGACTGAATGAAAATAATTATAAAAATAGTAGAACGCAAAATTCTACTCTTGATTCTTCTCTTCACACAAGTTGAGAATGATTTACAGCAGACAAGTTGCATAAGACAAGTTTTAGCTACGTCATGCAGATTATGTACAACAGATTACACACCACGGAATCTACAACTTAAGGCTAATATCATATTATATTATATATTATATTATATAATTATTGCTATAAATTCTAGCAATAATTGAATTGATCATACGTAATCGAGATAATTTTAACTCGATTTTATCTCTACAAATTTATAATTTGAAAATTTGATAATTGTAACTTAATAAAAAAATAATTTGTAACTTGACAATTTTTTTCAAACTTGAGAAAATTACTGTTATTACTTATCCTCTGATTATTTAAGTATATCATACCTAATAATGTTTTGATACATCCCCATATGAGAGATGATTAATAACTGATCCAATTATAAACAGGATATCCTTAACAAGATAACGTGGATGGCATCTAATCCGATAGAGCAATATCAATATGTCTAGTTCATGAAGTCCAACGTTTCACGGCTTTTCGTTATTTCCAACTACGTTTTATGGATCCATGATGGTCGTAAACAGATTCTCTGACTCAGAAATAGCCTTTGGGTACCGAGCTCCACGTTCTCGAAACTAGTTCCATCTTCTCGAGGTCTTCGTTCATTCTATTCGCAATTATTTCGAATGTTAAAGTGTTACAAGAAAATTCCAAACTTTAATCAAAAGATTGCGATATTCTTTTTTGCATTTATCTCTATTACGAAATTTTTACGTAAAAGTTTAATATCGAAATGGAGTACGAAACACGAAGAAGAAAACTTTAATTAACAAAATTCTAATCGAAGGATTACAACATTCTTCTTTGCATTTTTTTTTCTTTTTTAATGTATTCTTTTATGTATCCAAATGGAATACGAAATGCACAATTCTAGAATTTCCAATTTGATCGTCGAAGGGGAAGACTTTAAGGGTCGTATCTTGGCGATCAATTAAACCTGAGGCACGAAACGCTGTCTAGAAATGGCGCGATGGACCTCAATCATCGTAGAAAGTAATAATGACGATCATGTAATGTATAAATGTTTATGAACACACTGGTAAAATTCTAGTATATTTTATCGGCGAATCCTATTTTCTTCCCACGTTTTATAGCGGCGGGAATAAAATTTTTTTTTTATATCCCACTTCAAGGATAATAAATTTATTATCCTTCGACACGACACAGAACGTATGTATGAAATCGAAGAGAAAAAGATATTTCTCGGCGTGCTAAGTGCCCATTCTTGTAAATACCTTCGACGATAAGTGCGATAGTGAAGCACAATGTTTCATTGTTCATCGATTTCTCTTTTAAATTATTATGATATTGTGCTCGCGCGAGAATAAAAGTATCCTAAATTGTCTTGTTGAATGAAATTTTTCACGTTTACGATAATGATAAACGCGATTGTATTAGCATTTAATGCACTCGAAAAATTTATGTCAGATTTATAAAGGTTAAAAATTCTAGAATTATAAATATATATTTCCGTTCGATTTATTCATTAAAAACGAAACATATAATAGATTTTTCCTAATTTTAAATTGAAACAACAATAAAATTTTAAACTCTTATAAATATTCTGATTATTCGTAGCAATATCGACGATCGATATTTTTGTTATAAATTTTATCAATCCCTATCCCTTTTTATTACACCATTAATCTTCAACCTATTTTTCATAAATTGCAGAATATTTGTGGAAAATAAAATTTTTATCGAGCTTGAATAATGACTTATCCTCTCGCGTATCATGTTCGCAAATTCTTCGAATTTTTCCATAATTGCGTAAACATCCGCAATCTCGTCGATAATAAAGATTACTACTAACCTGTTAAATTTAATTTTCAGAAGAAATTTTCAGAACTCACAATTTTTTTACAACACTTCTATCAATTTCTTCTCACGCCACGACAATTCATACTTGCTCCGTGGCGTGATGCAATTATACGCATAACTCCATCCATCCATTTCCTGTTAATGGGGAATCACGAATATTCTCTCTGATACCGACATTTCTGACAACGTTCTCAAAGTGAACTGACCATATTTCGCCTATGTCGCAATTAATGGAACACACACAGTGATCGGTGAATCTCATTAATTGCATGGGCGATCAACATCGATCATCGGCCGGTTCGGTTTCAAACTGTTCCCTCGACTTACCAAACAATAGAGTTTTCGTGAAATTACTTGCTAAATGCCCGCATCGCTTTAGAGAACGTTCATATTGCTAATTAAATTCGCTACTTCGCTAATTAAACGCGAAATCTGGACAATGAATTCCACCTTGTTTTCCTAGTAAGAATAATGTTCTTACGACAAAGATTGAAATTTTCTTTGAAATAATAAGTATATGAAATAATAGGTACTTTGAAATAATAGGTAGTTTAATAGGATAATATGAATTCACTTATGATAACATTAATGAAATATCAAAGTTGATGGAATATAAAACGAGAAATTAAAAATGAGTTTTCATTTAATTCAATAAAAAAAAGTTTAAGCATAGAAGTTAACATCTATTCGCATCTTTTAGATAATTTTAAAATAAAAATTTGTCTAAAAGATCCATAAGGATCGAAATTAAATTAAATCGAAAAATTGTAAAATTGATGATTGAAAAAATAAAATTAAGTGATTATTGATCAAATTTTCCTAAATAATAAATTATCCTTGAACAAAATAGAATAAATAAAAATGATTCTAAATGAAACATTACAAAAGAGACTCACATTGCCTTTTATTGATTATCATTCGATTTAATGATAATCAAAATTGCAATATCCTTTACGTATTTTATTGAAACGATGAAAGGAAATGTTGTTAACATAAATTTATTAAAAATTAAATTCCTAAGATTTTCATAGAACGATTAGAATAGAAACGATCATATCTTCGAATGGCGTGTTGTAAAATAAAATGAGGAATGAAAGGAAAGCATAAAAGTAGTAATGCAACTTGTATTCACTACTTAAAGTCGTGACAAGAATTATGAATGAAAATATAGTGACTGTGACATAAAGGTAAATTTTGCTTTTCAATTTGAAATTTTGCAACAATTAGAATTAATGATAATTTAAGTGACTGGTTATGTGAAGCTATAACTCATAAAGTTGCAACGTTTATAGTCCTCGAATTTACAGTGATTTATTTGAATTTAATACTTGTAAAGTATATATAACACATTCATCTCTCGTGTCAATGTATTCCAACTTTCCTTGCAAATTATTAATTAATAGATTTGCACGAACAATCATGCTTGTTACGATTATAAGTAACAAATAACAATATGTTAAAAAAGAAAATTCATCATCTCCAATTTTTGATGAATCTATTGCTGCTCTATCGAAACGAATCAATTTCTCGTTGCTGATAATCAACGGGTTACTTTTCGACTTTACCAATTTATCGTTTATTTAATTAAATATTCCAAGCGTTATTTTCGAAACGAATCATCGAGCCAAATTGAAATTTGTCGAGAGATTCGAAAAATACACGAAAAACGATGATATTTCGATGGAACGTTGGCAATAAATCGTATAACAACGTAGAATATTATATGAAAAGCGAGAAATATAAATGGAGTTTTTAAAATTAGAGCATTTTTTGTTAAATATAATTTTTTTCCATGAGAAATTAGTCACATTCAAGTCCCCGGTTCGCTTTGAATTTAATAAATGAAGAGAGGTTGAAATATTTATTAGAAAAATGGTAAAACTCTGGTAAAATGATACGTTATTTTATGGCAATCCATTTTTACTCTCACTTCTGCATATCATAATTACTGTAATTAAAAAATAAATATAATTTCGAGCTTTGTATAAAGTTATCTGTGCATGTTAATTTTTTAATTTTGAACAAAATTAAACGAAAATAACGTGACTAATTAATATTGTTATCATTTTAATTTATTTTTTATTTTTTTTTTTGTTTCTTGATATTATATCATTATTTTTTAATAACGAAAGTTATTATTTAACTTACTTTAACTTTATTAAACTTATTTTAAATTCAATCAATCAAATTCTTCTATTTTTTTATTTTTATGAAATTCATAAAATGTGAAAATATTCTACAAAAATATCTTTCTTTCTCTCTCTCTTTTTCTTTCTCTTTTTCTATGATGTAATATGAATTCTCATAGATAAAATAATAGACATACGTGACAATGATTTTAAGAGAGATGAAAAATCCACCAGAAAATCAAATAGTAATAGATTTTCTTTCTACTTCCTTTCTTATTGTCTCTTAATACATTATTGATTCATTCTAAATGTTAGGTAATGTCAATACGATAATGCTGCTTGACATTTTCCAATTTACTATTACTAAATTTCACATTACATCTTTCTTTTTTTTTTCTATGTGTTCCAGAACTTATATCAAGTTTTTAAAAAATAGTATAAAAATTTTAAAAATATATGGAAACTTTAATTGATAATTTACAATTTATGAAACCATGCATAATATCATTTGTTTCGAATATCAATTCTTGTAGCTGCAGATAAATTTAATTCTAATAGATCCAATTTTCACAAATATATTTTCTCACAAGTTATTTCATATTCATTTATATTAGATAACTATGAACTGAGTAAAGAATTGAAATTCGATTTAATCAACGACAAAATTTTTAATTAATAAGAATGTAAAAATCTTTTGAAAAATATCTACTCACCTCAGTTTGCACGTCCATTTTTAACGAAGTATGATGGTCTCTGCAACAAAAAAAAAACAAAGATATATAATATCTGTATAAAGAATTATAACTATTATAAAAATAGAGAACAAGAATTCGAATTTTACTCTTATTTTATTCATTTATTCTATTCATTTTTTGGAATATAAATATTCATATATTTCATGTTACAATACACATGTCTACCATGTGTTTATCAGTAATAATTATTACTAAGATTAACGTTGATGCACATATATTATTGCACTTTACAAAGTTGTCAAAGTTTGAACTTAATCAAACTTGCAAGTACTCTATGAAATTACATCGAGATCTTATGATTCTCGTTGTTTAAAATGCTTCATTGTGTTAAGTACATTACAAAATAAATTCTGTATAAATCTTGCCTTAAAATATACTTGAAATATATATATTCCTTCTTAGATTTAATGATAATTAAAAATACAAAGAAAATTAATTTTTGTTTTCTAACTTAATTTTTGTATAAGTGTATAAATTAAGACATAGAAATAAATGATTTAATTTAATGATCTAGTCTTATCATAATATTTGAATACAAATGTCTCTGAGATTTCGCAATTATTTAATCTAATAAAATATTTAATTTATTTATATATTAATTTATTATTTAAAGTATCGTTTCGAAAATTGTCCCACTTAAATAAAATCTTTATTTAATTATACTTAATTGTACTTTTGTTCGATATAAGTACCTATAAAATAAACGAAATGATAAATAAATAAAAAAATTTATGAAAAGTACGTGAAATTTTTCTTTGAAAAATTTGTTTGGAGAGATATATTTATCTAATACGGAAGAGGATTTTTTATCACCGGAAATTTGTCACAATCACATTGTGGATAATTTATTTTTTTATCAATACTTTCAATCCAAACATAATTATATTATTATGTACGAAACTTTGTTCCAATTTACCAGAAATTAAGATTATCAAAAAATTATCACTAAATCGTTCCTCGTTTCTTGAAATTTATTTTTTATTCAATTTTCGTTTCATCAAAAATGATTTATGAAATCATTGTAGAAATCGTCTTTAATAATCTTTTTCAATATCTGAAAGAATGAATATGTGAATATGAATAAATGAAAAAATAAAAATAATATACATAGATATTTACTTATTGTTTTTCAATATATAAATTTTACCACTTGTATTATCCTTTAGAAAAATCCTCATCGACTCAAGTTTTTGATAAATTAAATTAAAATATTAGATTCTCGTAGAGGTTCTTATGGAAATTGAAGAAAAATTTAAAGGCAATGTGTTTTCGCAGAATTAGCATTTCGTTGAATAATGTAATGTCATTCATTTACTTTTGCCATCTATTGAATAGCTACGAGTATTTTTGCGAAAAATTGTTTCACTTTTATAATAACGAATCCCTTTTAATTTTTACCATTCAAATCGTTCTCCAATTATGAGTATAGAATTATGCTGTACAACAATATCTTCTTGAAAAAACAATTGAATATTTTTCCGAATATTTTTTTCTTTAATTATCATACTTAATATCATTACAGGATAATAATATTCCAATATTTTAATAATTCAACGATTCATTTCTTCGGAGAAATCATATTTCACCGGATGATATGACCAATTTCCATAAATAAAATATCGAAATAAAGTCGATTTGAGAATCAAATGTATTTCTTCTCGAGCGAAAGAAAAAAAAAAATTCTCTTATTATCTGATGATAATAAAAAAATACGATAATAAATTTCAAATAAAATAAACTAGGAAAAAAAAACTAAACGAACGAATTTTCTTTTTTATAGAGAAAAAGTTCTCTATAAAATTTATTTTATCGATTGAATTGCAAGATTAGGTTGAAAAAAAAATCATTATCGAAATAAAACCAACGAACCTTCCCTTCTGATGACGCTTGGAAAGACCAAAGTAAGAAATTGTTCGGCTTAGCACCTTCTTTCAAGGCACAAAATCTAACGGAGACAGCTTAATCCTAAATATTCCCCGCAAAGATGAATAGTCACGTTCCCTATGGCATCGTTTCCAAGAACACCGTGCGATCTTCAAATTAACGTGGAAACAACGTCAGTAGAAGCGTCTGGCTGTCTGCCAACTTCCTACAAGATTTGTAATACAAGTTAATCACCGACCACAAATTTCTATGCCAATCTAAATACTATATTCGTCAATATGATACACTAATATCTCTACTGATCGAGTAAATGTTTTTTTCTTTTCTTATTCGAATTCTTAAATTATTTTAAAAATTTATTAAGTAATTACTCTTGATTATGTTGTCATTAATAAATTTTTTTTATATAAAATTCTTTTCTTAAATATATATATATGATAAATTATATTATTATTAATATACATATATATTTATTAAACTGTAATATTTTTTATACTTCATAATATAATCCATTTTCCACTTATAATGGTGATATTCCACTTATCTAATTCTTAATTCTTAATCGTTCCAAAAAGTTAAATAAATAATTTGACAAAAAAAATATAATATGATATTTTCTCGATGCTTTTAAAAGCTTTTCGAATTTCCTTTTTCTTTTT